GAACTTACTTTTATCAGATCAGATTATTTTATTCTAATTCTATACAGACCAATTTTAATATTTTTTTTCAAAATCAGTGACATTTAATTATGTCTTTTAAGATAAGGCTTCTTTTTCTTAATTCTTGATGTCAGACCATTTATTTGAAGTGTTTTACGTATAATTTCAGTAAAATTTAAATATCATCATAGTTTTTGGTCACCTTATATAGCAACTGCTATAGAACATTCATTAGAAGTAATAAGTTAGAGAATTTTTACATTCAGTGTAAATAAAATTAATTCAGGAATAACCTGGTTTTTTATTATTCTAGTAAACGTAAACTTATAAACACTTTCTTTAACAATGATATTGGCTTGATAGCCTTCTTCAAGAAGGGTATAATTCTTGCCTATTTTTTTAAGGATAATTGTGGCATATTAAATTTTTTTATAGCAAGTGAAAGGGCTGGGGATTTATTTCTTTATAATTATATAATATTACGTAACTTATTGCTTTTTTGATTTTAATCTAGCCAAAAATGGATCAACTCAAAGTCACATAAATAATGCAACGCCTAAAATGTAAAAATTGCAGTCTAGCTGCAGATTAAATAGGAATTTTAGTTACAAATTTATATGAATTTTGATTTAGAGAACTAATATAATTTATGAATAAAAAAGTTACATTAATTTAAAGTATTGAAAATACTTTAGTTGAAGAAAATGATACGATTGAAGATGTGAAAATAAGCAAGAATCGGGAAAATTCACACGATTTATTTGCATACTCTTACCCAAGTTATTACTTGGTAATATGCTATCCTAATAATAAAATTTATTAAAAAAAAATTTAATAATTTATGAAATTAATAATGTTACTTATCTTAAAAGTCCTTTTTTTCTTTTATAAATTTATTATATAATTGTTTGTTTCTACATTATCAATTTTTGTTTAAAGTTTATAAAATGTTAAAAAATATTTTAAATTACAAATAATATTAGTTAAATTTTACCACTATATACTATACTAGAACATTGGATCACATTGGATCATATGAGTTCAAACGAAAAAGAACATTTCGAAGTATATGTCTGTAAAGTTTCGTTACTAATTAATTAGAAACTTTGGCGAGTTAAAAGACCGATCGTTTTTTAATTGAGTTCTATTGTAAAACATATATAAATAGTTGTGTAACATCATTAACATCATTGTCAAATTTAGAATGACCCTATGCTGGTTAGGTGTTTATTTACACCATATTGTCACCGATCAGTGTAACCTGTCACAAAATTCATGGAATTACTACGTTTTTAAGGCGACCGATCACTAGAATCAAAAAAAAAAAAAAAATTACTACGTTTTTAATAAAATCCATTTCTCTCCTATTTTCCACTTTCTTATTTTTATTTTTTTTAAAAAAATCAACATTTTTTTCAGTCTGTTGTCCCGGTCCAAAGTGTCGCTTATTAAAATACAATCAAAGTGAACTTTATTGAAGAATATTGCTTAGGCGATATTTTTGCATAAAAAGTTTGAGATCGAGGTTTTGATTACATCCTAGATATCAAGCCTTTAAAGATAACTTCTGCGAATAGGGTGAGTTTTATTGAGTTTGTACTTGTTTAGGCGAAGCTTCGGCGTAAAAAGGTTAATCCCGCTTTCTAACGAAACTCCCAGTTCTAAAAATGTCCAAAGGGCCCGTAAGTGAGGCAAGTTTTATTGAGTTTTGTACTTGTTTAGGCGAAGCTTCGGCGTAAAAGGGTTAATCCCGCGTTCTAACGAGGTCATGTTTACATACCGAAAACTCCCAGATTCTAACCATGTCCTAAGGGCCCGTAAGTGAGGGAAGATTTATTGAGTTTTGTACTTGTTTAGGCGAAGCTTCGGCGTAAAAAGGTTAATCTCGCGTTCTAACGAGGTCATGTTTACATACCGAAAACTCCCAGATTCTAACCATGTCCTAAGGGCCCGTAAGTGAGGCAAGTTTTATTGAGTTTTGTACTTGTTTAGGCGAAGCTTCGGCGTAAAAAGGTTAATCCTGCGTTCTAACGAGGTCATGTTTACATACCGAAAACTCCCAGTTCTAATAAAGTCCTAGGTCCCGCAAGCGAGGCAAGTTTTATTCATACTTGCTTAGGCGAAGCTTCGGTGTAATAAAGGCTAGTCCCACGTCTTACGAGGTTTTATCTGCATTCCGAAACTCACTGGATGAAATTTAATCCCATAATCTCATTACAAGTTTATTAAGAACACTTTCGCTTGAGAATAAATAATACAAGCAACGACAGAGATAGAATTAGGTTTGAAAATTGACGGAATGTAATTATTTGCATCCTGCGATTCTGCGCTAAAAGTTAATTTAAAAGTACATATTTACGTGACTTTTATTTTCTTTTAATATAAAAATTTGTATTATAATACAATTTTTTGAAAATTTAAAAACCATTTAAAATTTAAAATATTTTGTTCTTTTTCGTGATTTTTTTTTTTTTATAGCTTTGGAATATGGACATTTGCCCGACAGTTTGACCAGAATTATGCAGAGTTATGCACGTGCATGTGATAAATTGACCAGCATTAGGCTGTCCTGTTTGTCGTTCAATTAATTTATTTGAAGTTTAACAATCATTACGATACAGCATAAATATACGATCAGTTCGCCGAAAATATAAGGCTTTGGTTGCTATCTTTCTAATTCTGAAGTGGAAATGATAATCCTTTATCAAATATAATATTTATTAACTCTTATAAGATCGTAATGAATGAATAATTTTATCAGCATTAGTTATTTAAATAGTTTAGTTTAATTTATCGGCGACTTGAAATTTGATTAACCGCGTGCATTTTTTTTTTGCTTTTCTCCAAGAATTTTAGTTCTTACGATATATAAATATTTAATAAACCGACAAGCAAGCTGTCAAAATTCGAATGAGTGAATTAATTAGATTCAAAAAATCTATCTTCAATTAAAAATATTAAATACAAACATTTTAACAATATTCAAGAAATTGGTACACGTAGCTTTGGAATAGTCTATCATGCAAATTGGAAAAGTTCAAATCAACGTTTTGCGTTAAAATCGTTTCATAACTACAGTTAAAAAACCTGTTGAGGTAATTACAAAATAAAAGATTTTATTCGGGCTTACTTCGATCTATTTTGTATAAAAATTTTTGAAATTCAACGGGAAGTTGATTTTCATAGCAACATCATCCGCTTTTTGTGAATTATAACCTACCAAGTATAAAGTTTAAATAATACATTTATTTTAAATAAATATTTTTTTTTAAAAAAAAAAGAATTAGAAAATCAAAATAATCAATTGAAAAATTATTGGAATATGAAGCAACTAGTTTGAAAGTATAAAACTATAAAATCGTCGGAAATATCAAAACTTCATCCAGTAGCCGAAGCAACCAAAACTTGTATTTTATTGATTCAATTAACGTAAATAATATACATATAACATGGTAGAAGCTACTTTTTATGATAAATGGATATTAGTACTGATACATTATATTCGTTACGAAATTACGTAAATTGATTTTTTTTTATAAATATTGGCGTAGCAATTTTTTTGCATATTCAGAAAAAAAATTTTGACGCCAAATCAAGACTCATCGTCAAAACTCTTTTTCAATCTTACTTGTAGCAAGCGAAGTTTATTTAAGAGACGATGAATGATTACATAAATTTTTTATATATATTTTAGTTGCAAAGTCCCTACATTTGTTGTAGGTGAATAATAATATGACATGCTTTTAATAAATTTATCATGAAATTTATATTATCAAATACTTATTATTTATTGTAAACCGATGTCATTTTCTGCTTTTCAAATTTTAACTCTAATTCTGTATGTGAATTAATCCGAGTCTTTATAAGAATTATGATCTCCACCAAATCGACAAGTCACCAAACGTAAATGCAACCATGAATTCATTCATCAAAATATTTTCAAATTCTCATTTGATAATTAACTAATATAAAATACATCTTTTTATTTTTTTTTGGAAACCCTAAAGTAAAATCTTATTTCCTGTTTAAAAGGTTTAATTTATCTTTTTACTAATTTATTATTTTTGAACTAAAAAAACCTTTACCAAATGTTTAGCGCACCTCCGTGAATCATGTATATAACTCGAAAAATACTTGGATCAGATTAGAAATAAATAAACTTTCTCATGATAAATGAATGTTTTCAAGTCCATCCGTAATATCTTCGTCAGAATCAGCCTCTTGGGATAATCTGCTAACTGAAAATGCAAAATTTATGAATAAAAAAAAATAAAATCATATTTCGAACAATTTCGTTAGATAATATGAATTGAAGTAGTTACTTGTTTTAGAACTTTTATCAGAATTAGAATTGTTGAATGTATGAAGCCTTTTGATCGCTTTCCATTATGGGCGTAGCCCGAACTGGGCAAGTATTTCAAATATGTAAAATATTTGCCCGATTCAGGGCTGTATCCCGACACTTAAAATACAGCCTAAAATTGAAAAGGTAGTGTTTATTATAAATAAAAACTGATTTTTAGGCTGTATTTTATCGAAAAGCCGCAAAAAGTTATATATATTAAACCATTGTCCATTAAGCTTGAGCAGTATAAAAGCTGCTAAGTTAGTATGATCGTAGAAACTCAAATCCTTTCCAAATAAAGTTAAGCGACGTTTGCACCAGCTTTTCAGCTAATAATTGATCGACAAAATCGTGGCCTGGGCTTCACTGAAAATAGCGATATATGGTCTTCAAATACTTGTTTCATTAAATTATAATGGGTTTCTTTAAATATCGAATTGGTTTAAGGTAATATTTATCGTAATCATGTTATTGTCGCACTATTTATATTATGCATATATATATAGGACTTTCTATGGCTTTCAAAACTCTTCCATGGTCTTAGATATACATATACCGTCAATACCGTAATTATTTCTTCTAGTTTAAGAGAGGAAAAAATTAATCAAATTAAGAAAAGTTATGTCACAGCTAAAAAAACTTTTATTTAATTAAAATGGTAGAAATAAGAAATATATTATTAATCGGCAATGCGGGTAAAGGAAAGTCTACCCTTGCAAATGTTATTACTGGAACTAATGAATTTGAGGAAAATACGCATCGTATTCGAGGTACTAGCGAGGCAAAGTCTTTAGAATTTGATCACAGAGGATTAAGATACCGTGTCATTGATACCGTAGGAATTGGAGATTCTATCAGGCCAACAGGAGATATAATAAGTAAATTGGG